TAGTGGCCATGGCCCCCTTATAGTTTCAAATGCACATGTGGACAATAACATGCCACTGCATATAAATATGCACACATATTTACATTAGTGGCCCCTCCAATCATGTATATGGTATGTGAAATTTGTTAAACTTTGTAAACCACGTATTCACCTTATACGTATTAATTGTGACTCGAATCTAGGTAAGGGCTTGGGCTTGTACCTGGCCCCTGAGGAGGAGTTGCTTTTTGGAAGAAACCTGCACATTTAGGAAAGTATTAGTATAGGAGCGAATTGGGGTTGATCTCAGTTGAGCCCCCTCCGATGGTTAAGTCAGAAGCTGTTTGGTGGTGGAGTAATGGATGTAAGGTTTACCAATTGAGAATATTTATTACCCTTGTCTAGAGATAGGTGAGGGGTATTTATAGGGGGGAGAAGGAGAGACAAAGATAATGAATGAGATATTTTCCCCTCCCCTTCCTCTGATGTGGGTTACATTAAATGCCCCGCTTATGATCACCATGCTTCTTTGACTGGGATCAGGTGACGAGGTGATATGCGGTATGGGATGGGCGGTGCATTAACTGATCTCTTTTCATCGCCATGTTGTTGATAAGATTAATGGAGTGATTGATTCGATAGGAGGTTTGACTACGTCTACCCATCATCAATGCGTTTATGGCCCCACGACACCACCGTGGTCTGGTCGGTAATTTGGGTGCCCGAGCACCACCTCGCCCTTGGTCTTGTCAAGTTCCAACTGGGAGGCTCTCTACCGATCTCCGGGGGTATCGAGTTTGATTGGATCGGTGTATATGTAACCTTGCCCACCTACGGCTGCGCGGCATTCTCCAATAGGTTCGGCTCATAGCAACAGTATAGGCCATTAACAAACTTGAATAAAAATCAATTCAAAAGCTTGTTCTTTCTAATTTGGCCCTTCCAAACTCAAAATCCTAACTCTGCCCCTTCGAATCATCACCGTTGAATATTCGTTGGAACACATCTTGATCAGTCTATTTTTACTTTGATCGGCCATGGATGTTAATAGAAAGAAAAGAGAAGAAGAATTTCAGATGTTT